AACCTCTTCTATAGAAGAGGTTAGAACTGGCAGGAACCCACTCCTGGTACATACCTAAGCCGTAGGGTTACGTATGTTTTAGGGTCTTATGCCAGTCACCACCACAATGGAATTGTGGCACAGAGTTTAAATGAAGCATCATATCTAGTTAAAAGATTTTTGTGGAATCCTTATGATCTCTTACTAAGTAATTTTTATTGAACTTTTTACAAAACAAAACATAAAAAATCAAATTCAACATCCATTCTCCCCATTCCTAAGACATCAGTATATTCTTATCATCTTATTTAGGAATAGGTCTTTCTGAACTTGGTGAAATTTTTTTCAGAGTAGATGTGTTTCTTAAATAAAGAAATAGTCAAGAATCTAGCAGAGATAAGCAAGATTGTTCTGGTCTTGAAATACTGATGCTGTAATAATAGCTTTCTTCATTACTAATGATTTATACAGTATCATCTTACGTGCTATACCAATGTAATAAATAAATAATAATGTTTTTAAATCTCACTATAAAGATGGCTGGATGACTCTGTGGCATTTACAAATTAATGGTGAAGAAATGGTCATAAGGAGTTTCCACCAATGTTATTTTCTAGGCTCAATGTGTTAAAACTGGCTCTTGTTTCCTTCAGTTTCTGTGAATTTAAATCTAAAATGATTTTTCATTCTGCATGCCACACTTATTATACTTCCCAAATGGTGAGCATTTTAAGCCAGTATTTCATGAATCTCTGGGATACTTTCTGAAAAAAAAATCCAACATTTATGCTCTTACTTCATAAAAAGAGTTACTAGCAGAAAATGAGAGATTTACACACCTTCCCAGAGATTTTGTGTGCATTTTCTGAAGATACTTTTCAGTAGAGAATGCCAAACACAGTGCAGCCACTCATCCTGGGATACAGGAGGCACACCTCCATTTTGAATGTAAGTAATTTTGCTGTCTCTGAATTATTCCATGATTTCTCATATAGTTATGGTGACATGGCAAAGCCTTCCTGCCCGAAGACTGATGGCTGGAAAGAAGCAAGGCCAGAATAGTGAATGCAACACAGAAAGAACAAACAAAGCTGCGTTAAAACAGGTCAGACATTTTCTCTAGCTGAAAGCTGCAGGGCTGGGGATTGATTCATGTATTCCATAGTTTCTTTATCAAATTTATTTGCTGCCTATCTTGTGGTTCAGATGACTCCGAAAATATTATTTCCCCATCACATGGGATTTCTCTAGAGCGAGTTTCCAGAGGCAGAATCTGGAATTGTCTGCATCCAAAGGCAATTGTTGTGGCCTGCCAGTGGCCAGCGGAGGTGGCAGCAGATTCGGACAGTGAGGAGGTTGCGGAGGAACATGGGTCAGTCCTGGAGTCTGGGGAAGGCTCTGATGAGGGCTCTGTGTCAGAGGCAGAGAGGGGGCCAGGGCTGTATGCCAGTTATCAGATGCCTTCAGAGTAAGACATCAGTGAGACAGAGGAACAGCTAGAGCCTGTTCCCAGTGTGTGCATGTGCAGAGTTGCCAGACGAAGGGAACAGCTAAAGAACAGGGGTCGACTTGGGAGTAAGGCCACAGATGGATGATGAATGGCCCCTCCCAGAGAAAATAAAAGAGGAGAGAAAGGGGAGTGGAGTTTGCAGGAGACAAGTAGTTCGCTTAATTGGTTTGTGACTCTCCAAGACTCCTTGCCACGTTTTGCAAATATTGGCCTGGCAGCTCTCCAAGCCAGATCAGGTCTGTGACTGTAAATCCTCCTTTGAAAGACTTTGCTAGCTATGAATGAGCAGAATTCACAATAAATTAATAAAAGGGGTTTTTGTCGGGACAAGGTGTTTGTTTCATGCTCTTGGGAAGCCTCAGTCAGAACACCAATAACCTATCACTGTCTCTGGGCAGGATTCACACATTGTACTAAAATATCACGTGATTTGTTGGTGCTGGCTAAGCATGATGTATGAGTTCAGCTATTGTGCTTTGCAAACAACTTAACACATTGTAAGTATTTTATAAATCGCACTTAAAGCAAAACATAGAGCAAAGCGGCATATGAACCCAACAATTGATTCATGCACCAACTGGTAACCTTCTCTACAGTTAGGTGATTCTTATGCCAGGTTAGATCTGATTCATGCATCGCATATAAGCTATAATTTGCTTAATATGGTTTAATGAATATTTGACACAACAAGCAAGGCATACATTGCAGCTTCCAAGTTATAACGGCTGCCTTCACACATTGTACTAAATGTAAGGTGAAAATGCCTTTGGGAGACAGGAGGAAGAATTGCAGCCTCAACCATGGTCTGATAAATGAAGTCTGATAAATGAAATCTGATACCTGCGGTATAAAGGAGAATATGTGAAGCTGGGGATTGAAACGAAGGGTCTTTGGTGCTCTCTCAGCTGTTTTCTTGAAAGAAAACAACCAAGCTCAGATAACACTAAGGACCTCTGAAATGAAATCTGAATCCAGGGAAAATAAAAGCAAGGGAGGGAAGAGTTATTTTTGACATTTGCAGAACTGATGTCAGCCCTTTCCTTTGGGTTAGTTCAGTCAAGAATATTGCCTTTATTGTAAGGTTATAGAAACACAAGCTTGCAAATCTCAAAGTACCTCTCTCCTCTCTTTCTTTTCTCTCCAAAAGTAGGGAGGGCTCCTTCTGAGATGCTTTCTCCATCCTCACCTCTCCTTCGAACTCAGACATTGTTCGTCAGACTGTTGTCTAAATAGTGTTTCTTCCTTCTGTCTCCCGAGGTCATTCTCACCTACCATTACATCCAGTGATTAAAACATCAACAACAATCCACATAATTGCTTAGCTATATGTGAACCCATTCTAGAAGGGTTTCTTTTACAGTTTTGTACAACTAAGTGGGTTGCGGTGGCTCAGTGGTTAAGACACTGAGCTTGTCGATCAGAAGGTTGGCAGGTCAGCGGTTCAAATCCCTAGTGTCATGTAATGGAGTGAGTTCCTGTTACTTATCCCAGCTTCTGCCAACCTAGCAGTTGGAAAGAACGTAAAAATGCAAGTAGAAAAATAGGGACCACCTTTGGTGGGAAGGTAATAGTGCTCTGTGCGCCTTTGGTGTTTAGTCCTGCCAGCCACATGATCACGGAGACATCTTCGGACAGCGCTGGCTCTTCGGCTTTGAAATGGAGATGAGCACTGCCCCCTAGAATCGGGAACGACTAGCATGCATGTATATGAGAACATTTACCTTTACCTTACAATTAAGTATATAGGAAGTGCTTGATATCTACCAGACTGTTCATCTCAGTATTATCAACAAATTTGAATCCTTAGATATTATTAGATCATAATTCCACCAGTTCCTGGTAGCATAGCTATTTGTAAAAAAAAAAATGGATGTGGCTATGAATCCCTCAACTAGGAAAAAAGTGTTCTCCAGGTCTCCAGCAGAAAGGGTTAACATCATCACCCACCTAATCTATTTTATTTAACAAGTGAAGCTAAAATCTATAGTATCCTATTCTAAAAATGTGTAATCTCTTGTGGAAACTGGAAATATTAATAAACAAGATTTTAAGAAGCTTCTTCAGCTCTGACTGAGGTGGTGGTATTCAGTCAGTTCTTACCGGTTTGGATGAACACGTAGCATAGTTGGAAGAGACCTTGGAGATCTCCTAGCCCAACTCCATACTCAAGCAGAAGACCCTACCATTTGAAATAAATGGCTGTCTATTACAGGTAGTCCTTGTTTAATAACCAAATTGATTAGCAACTATTTGCAGCTAAAATGGAGATGCCAATGTAATTTTACAATCGGCACTCCCATTTGTGACCTTTACAAGTCTGTAAAGAATAGGAAAGCTGAAGTAACATCATTAGCACAGTTGTGGTTTCACTTAGTTGGTCCTAACTTTGGTTGCTAAATGAGGACTACCTATATGTGAGAGAAATAGGGCCTCACAGCTGGCAAAAAGTGGGGAAAAAGTGTAACGTTGAGATTGGAGCTAGAAAAATCAAGCTTCCCTTTCTTGGTTGGGGAAGATGATAGACCAATCTCAAAATGAATCCAACTTGTTTTAAAAAGGGAGGGAATGTCAGCATTGCTTTTTAACCTTGAGTACTTACTCACAAAGCATTCAGTGATGAAGAAAATCAAAATATAGAACGACTTTATTTGTTCAAACATAAAAGCTATTAAACCTTGGCTATTTCAACAGGCCTTCAAGGGGAAATGATCTAAGTGGAATATATAGGGCACAACTCCTGGACATGAGAATGTTATTACTTATATTATTTATTACCATTTGTTATTTTAACCTTGTTTACACATGATTGGAATGCAAGCCTGTCACAATCAGTGAATGATTGGATGCAGGATGTAAGCCAAGTGGCATGAATAAATAAAACTGATGAAAAAGATTCCGAGTGGCATAAAAACACATAGTGATTGAGCTTGTACAGAGATAGTAAATACCAGAAACAATAAATTAGATTTAAATAAACAACCCCCAATCAACTTAAGTGCAGTTCTTATCCCCACCACCACTCCTCTAGAGAATGGGTGATTTTGAAGAGGTTACCTCTGTGTCAATTTGTTATGGCACCTGAAAAGTCTTTCTTCCTACATATTCCAGTTTTAATCAGAGGTTGATTTTGAATTGTCTTTCTCCCACACCTCCATTTCAGCTCACAGCTTCTGGTTTTTCTTTTTCTTGTTACAGCATCATTTACAATTTCCAAAACAACAAAAACTTTTCCAAATGGATAGGGAGAAATAATGGAGGAATTATTTGCCTATGTCAGTAATGACGAACCTTTTCAGCACCAAATGCCTAGACTGGAATGTGTGTGCATGCGTGTCAGTGGTGGGTTCTGGATCCCGTTCCAACTACTACGGTTGGAACGGGCCTGGCGGCGTCCACATGGATGCGTGCAGCCCACTCATGGATTTTAGCGCCTACGCAAGCTTCCAGGATGCTCCAGCTGCTCCGTGGAGCGTCGCACAGGTGCTGTATGCGCCATGCACATGCGCAGAAGCACAGAAGCCTTAAAAGACAGATAAGGAGGCTGTTTATAAGAGAAGTTGCCCTTTGGCATGTAAGCTGATGACATGACACATTCATACCCTGCTAACTTGCATTTGTATCTAGGTGAAGCTCGATTAATGTTAACCTTGTTTTGCTTTTTAGTAGCTTAGTGTTATGGATCAGGTACGGATGGGCCCTCCGGAGCACTCTACCGGAACGGTATCCGTACCGGGGCGTACTGCCTGCAACCCACCACTGATGTGCATGCACCGGAGCATCGAAAACTCGAAGACCAGCTGGCCGACACATGCATGCCAGTTTTTGGGGCTGTTTTCAGGCCATTTTCAGGCAGTTTTTTGGGCCATTTTTCACCCAAAAAATGGCCTGGGAAAACTGCCCAAAAATGGCCTGAAAATGGCCTGAAAACTGCCCCAGAAATGGCCCGGCAAACAGCCTTCCTTTTGGACATTTTACGGTGCCCCAGGACCTGTGAAGAGCAGCTGGCAAGAGGCCTCTGCGTGCCACCTCTGGCATGTGTGCCATAGGTTTGCCATCATGGGGCTATTTGATACAATGGCCACCTCTTCTTAGTAAGGTTCTCCTTGAAATGTGTGTTATGTGTATTTCTTTGGCTGGGGAGTGGCTGTCAGTCCTGTGAACACCAAGTGATATCACAACAGCCTAATATATTGAACCATAGCACTAAGCTACTAAAAAGCAAAACAAGGTTAACATTAACCCAGCTTCACCTACATACAAATGCAAGTTAGCAGGGTATGAATGTGTCATATCATTAGCTTACATGCCAAAGGGCAACTTATAAACAGTCTCTGATTCTCCACTGAGACATTGCTACAAAACAATAATGTGAATGTTGCAGTCTCCATGCTTTCCAATTTATACTTTCTTTTTCCCTCTACACAGCTAATGTTTGGATACCTTCACCACCCATTTTCACCTGAACAGTCAACTAGAGCTCTTTCCAAAACCCACTGCCTGGAAGGGATGGAGAAGTTAATGTGGCTGCCGTCAGTCCTGAATTCTGGATACATTGAGAAAAATGTCCTTTGTCAATGCCTGGAAACTTCTGGACTTCATTTTTTCATACCCACTTCAACAGAAGCTTAACAGTACAACCAAATCTCAGGACTGAAGTTGCTCTCTAGTTCCACCTATAACTGAGCAGACCAGATTTTTGGATGGAAATGCCTTTACTTTTTAAGGCCAAGACTTCAAAGCTCTAATCAGCACTCTGGAAAAACTCCTCTCTGCCTCCTCCAGATGCCACTAGATGTGGTCGACATGACAGAAGGAAGCTTCTGTGAGGTTTTCCTTTTTAGATTGCTGCTGAATCTAGAATGAAAATTAATCTGGAGAGAGGGAATTGATGACAGGCAAAGATAGGACACCAGGACATTGAAGCTACAATCCTCCAAAACAGAGAAAGGTGTATAATGCCATTTTACCAAACCTGTGTGGCAATCAACGCATCCTTGCCACAGCTTCCCAGAGCAGTCCCAGTCAGCAAAAAAGGTGTAACGTGTGTAATTTTCTTGTAAATTAACAGAATATTGTGGGCAATATTTCTTTAACCTTCTAGCCCAGGGCAGGAGGAAGCTCCATGTTAAAGGTCTCCTGAGTTAGGGGAGATAGTGGACCTTTCTTTGGTTGAGCTTCTTGAGTTAGTTGTCTACCATTTCACTCCTGGAATTCATTTCACTGGTCACTTTCCTTCATCTCCTTTCCTGATGAAAACGGTGTTTCCACCTTCTGCGTTCATAGAATTATAAGGCTGGAAGGGACCTTGCAGATCTTCTAATCCGACTCAAGACAAGAGACTTTGTACTACCCCAGCCAAATGGCTGTCCAATTTCTTCTTGAAACCCTCCATCAATTGAGCACCCACAACCCTAGGAGGCAAAGCTGTTCTGTTCTTTACTTTACTTTTGTACACAAAGGATGCCAAAAGGTGGATTGGTGGTAACCTGGTTTGTTTGTTGTTTAGCAGACTGGCTCGTTCAGCAAACAAGAACAAATGCTAGCTGAGTATTATTCACAAACCCATTCTATGCCTATCTTTGAGCCGCTACAAAAATGATAGTATTTTTGGTATGAAAATCACATTTGTTGATCACTGTACAATCATTTCTTAAACCATCAAGAGGTGGAATCTTTAGGACTTGGGGGAAAGAAATGTCACAACCAGTTTCTATAAAGTTGAGCCAGATCCTGCCGAAAGTGGTGGCATGGTGGTTAGAATGGAGTATTGCAGGCTAACTCTGCATTCCCACAGCCAGGAGGTCGATTCTGATTGGCTCAAGGTTGACTAAGCCTTCCTTCCTTCTGAGGTCGGTAAAATGAGGGCCCAGATTTTTGGAGGCAATATGTTGACTCTGTAAAGCTTAGAGGGGGCTGGAAAGCACTATGAAGCGGTGTATAAGCCTATGATATTGCTATCTGAAGTGTTCTACCTTTGTTTGCCTTTTTATTTTAAAATGAATTAACATGTTTTCTTGTTCCCCTACTGAATACCAAAATGCATGAATAAGGAGACTGCACCAACATCACATAGTTAATATTGGATCGTTTTTATTTTATCTATAATAGAGTGATTTTCAATTTGTGCTTGACTGTAAATGTATTTGGGTCTTTCATGGCACCAGACTGAATGTAAACCAAGAGCAAATCAAAAGCCCGACCACTATGGCAACTTGGGCATCTTCTTGCAAGAGATGTTGGGTTGGGACTTTCAATAATAATCATTGGAAGTTCCCCAGAAAGCTCTGGAGTTGATCCTTGAACAGCATTTAAATGACTTGCCTCTTCCTTCCCCTTCCCTGATATCAACTGTGTAGGACATAGAATCCTTGATGTAAGCCATGAAGAGGTTCCAAACATGGACAATCAATCAATCTTCAGAACAATACAAGAGGTCAGAATTCCAAAACACTGATTAGAAATGTTGGCATCTTTGGAGTGCTCCAGCTTTTCTAATAGTGACACAATAGGGGTAGTCCTTGAACTTACAACGGTTTGTTTAGTGAAAAAAGTGATTGACAATCAGTCCTTGTACTCATGTTGCAATGTCGCCAGTCACATGATCCAGAATTTTGGGACTTGGCCACCATTTATGATGGTTGTGATGTCCTGGGATCACATGGCTGCCATCTGTGATTTTCCTAGCTGGCTTCCAACAAGCAAAGTCAATTGAGGGGGGGGGGGAGCCCAGTTTGCTTAAAACAACTGGGTGATTCGCTTAAGGATCACAGCAAAAAGATTGTAAACTTTGCTTAGTGACAGAAGTTCCAGTCCTAATCGTGGTCGTTATGTCGAGGAGTATCAATAGTAAAAATGGGAAATGGGAATAGGCTACAAAAATAGGGCTGGAAAAGGAGAATAGTCTTTTCTCTGATTGTGCAAACATAGTTTTTTCCTTCATCGCCACCCCTGGTATTTCTAGCAGTAGCTACCAAGACATTTTCACAATTCTTTTAGGAAAGCCAAAGGTGTCCAGCCTGATGCTGTCGCTAAAAACACTGGAGATCTTCTAGAAAGCCGATCAATCATTTGTAACCGTTTAACTGCTAAAACTGGGTAGATGAAGAAATAAAGAAAGCAGGCATTCATTCTACAGAGCTATGTAAATATGGAATTGTTTCAACTCACTTGTAATTCTGCAGTTGAGCCAAGCCAGAATGTGGTTGGTGTGACTGTGGCTTAATGCCATGAACCTAGTCATTTGTGTCGTATTTAAGAACTCTTCATTAAAAGAGAATATGGTTTAATAGAATGTGTGAAGCCAGTCAATATATTTGATTTGATTTACCATCGCCATCTTCTCATGTAAACAATACAGGGGTGGGTGGGGTTAACCTAGATCAGTGATGGCGAATCTTTTTTGGCTCGCGTGCCAAAAGCGGGGGGAACGCAGGGGGGTCTTGTGCGGGTGTGCCACACCCATAATGCTATGTGCACCCCAGCGTGCATGCATGCACAACCAGTGTTCCCCCCCATTTTTGCTGTGCTTTTTTCGCCCTCCCCAGGCTCCAGAGGCTTTATAGGAGCCTGGGGAGGGCAAAAACAGCCTCCCCCACCCCCAGTTTGCTCGTAGGGTTGTTTTTTGCCGCCTGGAGCCTTCAGGGAAGCTGCCTGAAGCCTCCGGAGCGCAAAAAAACCCCAGTCCTATGGGCAAACTATAAGTTCGGAACATACTTCCGGTTTGCTCATAGAGCCAGTTTCAGCCCTCCAGAGGCTTCAGGCAGCTTCCCTGAAGGCTCCAGACGGCAAAAAACAACCCTACGAGCAAACCAGAAGTGATTTCTGGTTTCTCTGTGTGGCTGTTTTTCATCCTCCGGAGCCTTTAGGGGCCTTCAGGAAGCTTCCCTGAACAGTCCAGAGGGCTAATACCGGCTCTACGAGCAACCCGGAACTGACTTCCGGTTTGCCCATAGGGTCATTTTTTGCCCTCCGGAGCCTTCAGGGAAGCCTCCTGAAGGCTCCAGGGGGCTAAAACTGGCCCTACGAGCAAACGGGAAGTATGTTCCTGAACTTCTGGTTTGCCCGTAGGGCTGGTTTTTCACGCTCTAGAGGCTTCAAGGAAGCCTTCGGAGGGTGAAAAATGGCCTCAAAAGGCCGAAGCCAGCTGGCCAGCACAGGCACTGGCCAGCTGACAGGGCAATGCCTCGCGTGCCCTGACAAATGGCTCTGCATGCCACAGGTTCGCCATCACGGACCTAGACCAAGGGTCAGCAACCTGCGGCTCAGAGCCGCATGTGGCTCTTTCATCTCTCTTGTGCAGCTCCGTCGCTCAAAATATGCATCACAACTGCCAATGTGTGACACACACCGGCACGTGATTTATTGAGCTTTTCAACCCCTGGTAGGCCAACCATGGATAAATCCAAGATTCAGAAGAAAACAATCTTTAATTCAACTATATATGTTAGTTTTATGGCCGCTCAGGAAATAATCAGGCACGGGAAAGGTTTTGTGACTCCTGGTGTTTTCTTTTCTATGGGAAATGGGTCCAAATGGCTCTTTGAGTGTTTAAGGTTGCTGACCTCTGACCTAGACTTAAAGGAAACTGTTTAGAGACTAACTGTTTAACCAGCTGAATTTATGCAAACATTTATTGAGGGGCTGGTCCACAGAAGCAAATGCCTGCTATTTATGGGAGCTGTGGTTTGCTAAATATGGGAAAGCACAGCAGATAGTGGCAGCACTTAATCAACCGCGGCTAACCCCAGAAAGCTCAGCAGGGTCAGGCCAGGTTAATACTTGGATGGGAGACCACTAGAAACCCCAGGGCTAGAGGCTAAACCGAGAAGGAAAACCACATTCAGGAAGAAAGCAACAACAAAAAAGCCCTCCTTCCAATCCTATGCCAAGACAAATGAATGCGCCCAGAGTCAACAGGAGATGAGCTCAACTTCAGGGAGCCTTGACCTTAGATCACTTTCAAGTGCAGGAAAACAAGTGGAAAACAAGTGGAAAACCTCCTGTAACAAATTCACCTTCTCCTCCATTTATGATGCATTTCTAAAAGGCCCTTCAGGCACAGCCTAACTTCAAATACATCCCAGAAGTTGGGGCCTGTTCAAATACCTATGTAATTGTTCCTACATGAGCATGCTCTCTCTGCCTCAGCATGCGGGAATGATGTATTTTAAGGCAGATGACAAGCTGATTACTGTAGCACAGCCAGTTTCCATCCGATGTTGGCATGGAGGCTGCTTGGAGAATGCAAAGACGTGATGTGTTTTGTGCAAAACACTCAAGATTTCTCTCGAAACGACCACCCATTTCATGGAGGGGGGAAGCTCTTGTCATTTTAAACAACAGCTGTTTCTAGAATATTACAGGTAGTCCTCGAGTTATGACTAATGGAGCCTGCCTATCACAGTTGTAAAGTCGTGACACAGTCAAAAATCAAGGCCACCCATTAGACTGATCCAATTTTACAACTTTTGTGTCAGCCATTGAGCAAACAACGTGGTTAAACGAACTAATGGTTCGCTATGGGCTGGTTTTGCCAAAAACTGGAAGTAAATTTCAGCAAAAAAAATCCATCATAAAACATGCATCACATAACCGCGGGACAATTCAAATGACTGCACACGCAGCCAGGTTGCTGAGCGCCCAGAGTGCGGACCTGTTACCCCTAACGCAGTTTTGTCACTAAGTGACAGGTCATAAGTCAAGGACTCTCTGTACTAGTGTATTTGAGAGGCAGGAATCTGGATAACCATCGGATGGCAGCAGAGAAACAGAAAGGCTGGAGTTTTGTTGGTCAGATATGATTAGACTAATCTAGAAATCCCATGGATGAATAAGTAGTATATTCGTGTATTACCTAGTAGGCAGGTAAAAACTTCAGCAGTAGTTTTTGTAGCTGTTAAAGTACCATTTTATTAAGAAAAGATAGGAAACTAAAAGGAATCCACCTGGAGCTGAGCAGAGCACCCTGTCAAGGACATGGAAGGAACAAAAAGAAAGAAGTGGGATAGGACTGATAAACCTTCTGAAGTCTCACAGGAAAAGTGTTCCTCCCAGTTTTTAATTCTTTTTAATCTTTGTTCCTGTATCTGACAGCCATAAATAACAGGCCCACTCCAGAGTTCTGTGCCTACATCTGCTCAAAAGATTCAAAGGAAGGAATTTTAAAGGATTCTCCCCATACCAACAATTCCCTTGTACTGAATGGTCATGAATTTGAGCAGACTCGGGAGCCTCATCATTTGTCATTTTAACTTGAGCCAAGGATTTGTGAGATACAGAAATGGGAGGGATGAGCTGCTAAATGTCTGCAGGTTCAACTAAGTCACAGGACCAATGGCTGATCTCCACCTAGCTGGATATCCAGGCTTTCGTTGGTAGCCCAATCTTTTTCTACGTGTGCCCCAAAGTCTGTATTTTTATTTAGTGGGATTTACCACTTACATGCTAGTTTTAAGCTTGTGTATCATCTAGGCGAGTTGCTAATGTGAGAAGGCGTTGTAATTTTGATCTTGAGTAATAATGATGTTATTTTTTATAATTGGCTCTCTGACCTCCGCCTGATGGATAACAATGTTCTGGCAGAAGAGAGGCTGGGTAGCATCGAGATATTTGAATCCTCTGTGGCATTTTGAGTTAAGCGTTCTTGTCCTGCCATTCTGGAGTACCACATGTACAGTAAAGAGCAGCTGGCATCCATCTGCTGTTATGATCATGCTTCCCTGTGAAGAAGGGAAGAAACACCAGAAAAAGGGAGAGAGAAAAGCACAACCTGCCACGGTTAAAATTGAGGGGTTTTGTCGCAATGTATGTTGGATCACTGCTGAACCCACAGTATATTTTGTTCAAAACAGAGCCATATATGATGACTGCACAGCTTTTGCTTTCCGACAAGACTTAATCCCAGAGTTAGGCAAGTCAGCCGTTGTAGAATCAATTATGCAAAACAGACCTTTATGCTCGAGGCGGAATTTATATTTCAGATTCTTAAAATGCAAAATGCACACCAAGCTGTTTATAAGCAGCACCAGATCCAAAACCAAAGAGGTCAACAGAGAGGCTGACCCCAGAGATTGAAATTCCTGCCACATTATAAAAACGCAACAGCACAACAAAAATTATCCAGCCCAACTTTTTTTCTTAGAAAACACATATTTTAAGGTTTCAAGCAGGATGTGTGGCTTTTCCAATAATTAAATTTTCAGGACTGTGCTCCTTCTGACCCCAGAGGTGGTATATAGCTCTCTTAGCCAAGAGTCTCCAGAGAGGCCTACACAAGGGATTAAGCCATACTGTGTCTTCTCTGATTTTGGCTTGGGCTGTGAACTAAGAAACTATGAATTACTCAACAAACTCATGTTGTAACACATTTATCCCAGCAATGTATAGCTTTACTCTCCACATGCTTGTAAAATTCTCCTTTAGAACTATGCTTATCTGGTGACCTTGCTCCCCCTTTTGGTCTAAAAAAAAAAATAAGATGTATCCCCCCCCCCCCTCACACACACACACATTTTTGTGCTGGAGGCTTTTGCTTTTGGGGTTTTCTCCATACAAAATTCGTGATCTGTGAGTGAACTACACATTTTTCCTAGTGCCTTGTGGAATGGGCAAAGCAAACTAACATTTTCCTGGCTAAAATGCACAAACATTTAAAAGAGGAGCATCTGAATACAGCCGGAACAGGGGTAAGGCAAGAATCTTCCACTGGATTGCTGGTGACTACACAGAAGCAACAGGGAAGTTGTAATCCTTCATACTGTGGGACCTAGTGCTGCTGAGAATCGGATTGCCCATCCTTAACTTAGGAAAAGGTTTAAAACCTTAGTTACCAGATCAAAATAAAGCATTATATTCGGACGGACATCCATTTTAAGAACTTTATATATTATTCATTGAACAGATATTTTATTCTTCAGTATATTTATATTCTGCTTCTCCATGAAGCTCAAGGCAGCTTTCCCAGAGTTCCAAACATCCCAAATGAACACAAATCTGACATGCCAACCAGCAAAATCCATACAATTTAAGTATTCAAACCATTAACTTTGGCACAGGCTCAGCACTTCAGGATGCAAGAGCTTGACAGTCTGGCATAGCTTTTCAAAACAGGGGGCCTTCCAAATGTTAGGACTACAACACCCAGCAATTCCCAGCAACAGGGAGAGTTGCAGCAAAATCATCAAAACAATGGGTTATTCAAATAACTAGCGACTTTGGCTGGCCATTCACGGAAGTGTACTTTAGCTTAGAGCTATTTCAGGAATGTTTTAAAATGGAAACAATCCTAACTCAGGGTTTCAGGCAAAATCTTAATTGTTGAAATGGAAAGTGTAAGAAGGCTTACAAATTGAGAGGGTGAAAAACCTCTTTGATTTGAGTTTCTGGTCTCCTAATATTAATGCTCACCAATTTCCTACAATACTATGCATGTAATTTCTATTAAGATATTTAATGTTAAGGCCGCCACCCTCAGAAATATGCAGGCAGCTTGTTTTATCTGCCAAGCATGACTTTTATTGAATGAACTAGAATTAAATTGCTGTATGAAAAATTGACACAAATATGTCATATGCAAAATTTGACACTCTGTGGTGCATATTGAGATGGTAGCGTTGCTTAAATTCAGCCCCGCACTTAGGTTACTGCAAGGATCCAGGAAGCCAAGGCTTTAGTTCAAATGTATGAATCTATGCTATATATTTTAATGCTTTTAAAAAATATGAACATTCTATTTTCCAACAAGGCCAACAAGAAACGGCCTAAATGACCTCCCAGTCATTTTGCCTAATTATGTGCTTTCCTGTAAACATATTTTATACAGCAATTCTTATGTTTGCTGGGCCAGTCCCACTGAACTCTCCCATCCAACATTCTGTTTTGCAACATGTTAGCTATTAAATATACCGATCATGGAGGCACAGGTGATGTCAGGTGATTGTGAGCAAATACATATCTTACTTCTTTGGTGGGGGGAAAAAAGACAGTAATACTAATATAGAAGCTTATCTAACCTGCTCAGATTTACACATCTGTACAGTTTGTATTATGTGTTTGTGTGTTGGGGGGGGAGCAAAGAGCACATAATGAAGTCCATAAGCTCAACCAAGTACAATATTTACCAAATTGTGCCATGCAACTTGCCTAAAAATAGTGGCTAGGTATGAGGTTTATCACAAAATGCCAGGAGGTCCAGCCTTCTTCTGTTATTTTGTAATCCAAATTTTATCTAGCTGAGAACACAAAACACAAGAGGCTTCTCTGAAACCCAAACTTTCCTGCACAGACTTCTTCCCTAAGCCAAGAACCCACTTCGGCAAATAAATGATGCAAAAATTAACAGGGATAATATCACACTAAGGAGAAAGATTGTCTTCCTAATATTTTAAAGGTTTCCACTAAGAATGATCATGCACCTTCAACTTTAATCTCTGAAAAAAAGTAGTTCATCGTGGTGGCTAAGAAACATGCCTGCTGTAAGGCTCACTAAACTGAGCTCAAGTCTGCTTATCTGTCCAAAAGGTTACACTGCTGTGAATATTTTTTTGTGGAATGTGATTTTTTTTTTATATCAGCAGGGTGCTCAAATAATCACACGCAGGAAAGAGATGTTGAGAATGTACAATTGTCTCTTCTCCCACATCAAACCACAGGCAGTCAGAATAATCAAATGTTCATGCAACAGAAGGTCCCATTCCTCAGGCTCCTGGGGAGCCCATGTGGTTTCAAGAAAGGTCGTATTTAATATGAACTTCTGCCCAAGCAATGGAATATAACAGGGATTGTGCAAGGTGACCATGGGGATTTCATCAATTGTAGGTTTTCAGACTGGGCCCAACTTTTTTTTTTTTAGTCCATACATCAGCCTGTGCCTTTGAATACAACATTCATATCTTTTACATCTTTCAAATTCCTCTCAACCCCAAATCAGTAAGACTCCCAATGTTTCCAACCACTTCCCCTGTCCTTTGTACCCTCTCCATTTCTTTCGTTCCCACTACTAAGAATTCTTACAGACGTCTATATAAGAAAAAAAAAAGCACGGGGGCGGGGGGGAATGTCCTTTCAAGAAGATACCTGAAGACAAATGGAGATTGTCGTGTTATCATTGATGAGGTGGCATCAACACCTACCCTTTCCCAGGAACTAGGAGCCTAAGAGAGTGGAGAGACCTGATGACTGCATCTTTAAGGCAGCATTATGTTCAGCTATTTTGCATGAGTGAGTCTGCAGGTGGGAGGCAGTGGAGCTGACAGTGAAAGTGATGCAGGCTCAGCACACAAGAAGAATGCAAGCAGTGGATTGTAGGTTTCTTACACAGAGCTAAAAAAAAGGGACCAATGGGAAAGGAACCTGCAATAAAGGAAGAAACCAGAAATACTGAGGAAGACAAGGGGAAGGAGAAAAGATCTTGGTTGAAGTTCCATCACTGCTCTTCTCAAAGCAGACCTACTCCCCATCATATTCATCACTGATAACAAATATTTTAATTAAGTTGCAGGGGGGTGGGGGGGAGAATCAGCCACAGTACCCAAGAAGGTCCTGTCAATACATTCCTCGTTGGGTAGGGTGAGGATGGGTGGCATCAGACAGACTCACCAGCCACAGATGGATAGAGACAACAGTAGCAGCACTGACACAAGACAGGCGTGGAGCTGGGTGTGCGTGCCCTCCCTCCCCCTTACCCACAGTCAAGGCAGCACCAGCACAAGACAGCTGAGAACTGGAGGTATAGGCCTTCCCTTCTTTTCATCCCTCGCCTCAGTTGGGGCAGTGTCAGTCCTCCTTTGGGGGAGAGTTGAGGAGCTCCTTCTCTGCCCCATGGCCAAGTATGGTTCAGTGTTGCATGGCCCCAGCGTGGTTTTGATCAGGTAGCTCCGCCTTCTTGGAGTTGTTCTCCTTTGGTCCAGCATCTCCTGCTTTAGACTGTGCCTTCCCCCTCTGGCTTCTCTTGTGGCCTCGGATGCAATGGGCATTGCCGCAGCCGTCATCGTTCTCATCCTCGCTCTCTGTTGAGCTCTCATCAAAAGCCCGGGGCTTCTCATAGATGCAGCAGCCTGTGTTGAGGAAAGAAGCGTGGAGGAATGGCAAGAAGGTAAGATAAAAAGGACTCAGAAGCAAATACATTGTGGACATAAAAAAGAAGGTGGAATAACAAACAAAAAAAGAGAACACAGGAAGAATAAAGAGACATTGTGAACACAGAGGAAAGTGAGGAAAGTATGGCATGGGACAGTGTTTAATAAAATGAAAAATGAGTTAAATATACAAAGTGGAAATATTGGATGCATGAAGGTAAGGAATTGAAGGAAATGGCAGACAGTGAAGAAGGAAGAGAACACGAGAGAGATAAGCACAGAAATACAACAATCCAACCAAATTACAGCAATGGGAGAGGAGACAAAGGAAGAGTCACTTGCTCACTTTATCTACCAGCAATTCCCACTTTTGGAAAATGAAAGGCCTATGCAGACTTTCTTCAAACTCAGGACATTTCTCTCTATCCCTCCCAGATGAATCTATAGCGGTCCTCAAACTTGGCAACTTTAAGACTTGTGGACTTCAACTCCCAGAATTCTCCAGACAACTCCAGAATTCTGGGAGTTGAAGTCCACAAGTCTTAAAGTTACCAAGTTTGGGGACCCCTGATCTATAAGGATCAGATCAGCAGTCAGGAGCAAATAATTCACTTTTCTGACACATGTTTGGTGCCGGGATGGAAGAGATACAGCAAGTTCTTAGCCTCTTTATAGCCAAGCCACCAAGGAAAAGTAGAGACCCTACACCAGGCTTGACTCCTGTAGCAATTATTCTTGTTGCTCATTTATTTGGCCAGGGACCCGCAGGGAGTAATTAGAAATAGGACAAATGGCATCTCTCCAGTTAATTCACTTATTCTTATAGTAATATCTCTATCCTCCTGTGATCATCACAAGATGCCTTCTCATCCAATTTCCAGTAAGTACTGTTAAGTACCTATGGTTAATTGAGGCAATTAGTATCCTCTCCAGGCTACAATGTCATAAGTAACTTGGTGTCCCCAAAGCTTATCATTTCCAACTGAAGTTTAAGGTGATATTCTAAAGATAAAAAACAACAACCACCATGGAACATGTCCATGATAGCAAGTGGCTTCCCAGTAGAGGACCAGGATGGGCTAGCATATATGATGATACAGGACTCCACCTATTTTTCCAGGAACCCCCTATTTCCACTAGTTTGTCAGTACACTGTGGAACTTGATTTCATTACCTATGCTTACATTTCGATACTGTCTGCTAGAGAAGGTGACCAGTCCACAGAAGAGTCATGTGGCCTTTAAGAATACTTGAGAGCAACCCTAAAGCCAACAATCTAAATGTAAAAAATGAGTTAGCCTCAAGTAGTGCACCCTGGATGATGCACTCACATCAGGAGAAATATAAGTAAGGAGGAAGAACTTTAAGAAACAATGATAGAGAAGGGCAGTGCTCACATTTGGAAGATCTCCGTCCCAAGTGCTCATTGTCCACTGTGTCACTTGACCATTCCACCTTCTTGGATGGTTTTCTTTTTCTTAATTTGATAGTGAGACTACGATTTTCCTGGGAAGAAGGTTTGATAAACAGATAATCAAAGAATTTTCCATTCAATATACAACAGCTTGATTTTCAATTCTGCGGAATATTTTCTACATAGCTGTACCTGAGGGGGGGGGGGAACCTCTTTATTTTTGCCAGTAAAGAGAACTCCATAGTTCTGCAGGCAACTTCAAAGTTTAATTGCTGCTGCTTTTCTGATCAAACCCTACCTATACCACCATAACCTATGCCATTAACTTGCATAAGAGATGAAAGAAATAAACATTCCATTATACATTGAAACAATTATTAGAGTTTACATTTTAATAGGTTCTAGGGCAGAAATATGAGCTGTCTGTAGAGAACCCAAGACTTAATTGAATTCTATAAAAGAGCTCTTAGGTTTTATGAACAGCACGAATAGAAAAACATTTAAATGGGCAGCACTGAAACAATACAATGTGGTACTTCAATATTATATCCACTAACAATCACATCAGGGCATTTTATCACAGTCCTTCTTCCTAAAACAAAATAGTGTATCTTAATATAGAGAAAATTTAAATGATATATATGCTTGATATGATACATCTATTCATCAATAATCTACAAAATCATCCACAATTTTGAAAAAAGTATCCTATCATTTGAGCTTTATAGGCAGTCCTTGATTTATAACCATAATGGAACCTGCCCATCATGGTTGTAAGTTGTAAGGTGAGTCGGTCACATAATTGTCACATGACCAACCTGATTTTACAACCTTTTTTGCCTTTTTTTGCTGGTTATTAAGCAAACCAATGGTTCGCTATGGGCACAATTTTGCAAAAAAAAAAAAAAAAGAAAAGAAAAGGAAAAGGAAAAAGAAGTGCTAGTTTTCAACAAAACCAATGTCATCTTACTACTAAATAACTGTAGGTAGATCTGTTGTAACTTGGTCAATGAGCGACCGGTTGTAAGTTGAGGACCATCTATAATTGAAAAAATACTATAGGGGGTTTAAATGATCATGAGTCAAATTCTCTCAGCCTCTTGCAATATCCAAGGTAGAAGTAAACATCATATAAATAACGTCTTTGAAGGCAGTTGATAAATGTAAACAACAACAAAACCCCAATATGTGCATCCTTGAAATAATTTCAATTGCACTAGCAACACTACTGGATCACACCAAAGCTTCTGATCGATCAATAGGCCTGTACACATACTCCTTTTGGCTGATTCAGTTCACAAGGGGTTCAGCTGAATCTCTGAATTAAGTTTATCATGAAATTTGTTTCTAAATTCAAACATCTATTTGATCAAATGGTTCCCTGAATCAGAGAACTTCAAATCAATCTGATTCATTTTGGACACCTTTAGCACGTATGCATTCTTAGCTTGTGAAGCATTCAAACCATCCTTCTTCAGAGGTAGGTAAAATAAGGACCCAGATGGTTGGGGGGCAAAAAGCTGACTCTGTAAAACCGTTTAGAGGGCTGGAAAACCCTGTGAAGCGGTATCAAAGAAGTGCTATTGCTAGCGCTATCCCAAAGGTGCTTTTTTTAAAGAGGCAACTGGACTTTCTTGAGTTTTTTTTTCTTTTGAAGATGGTTTGCTTCTCATCCCATCCAAGAAGCTACTTCAGCTCTGACAGGATAGTGGGGAATGGAAGGAATTATATTCCTTGCCAGACAGCTAAGTCATTTGCATTATTTTAGAGGGTCCTTGAGGCTACCTGGAGGTTTATCTGTGTCCTCAGGGTCACCTGAGTAGTGCAAATATTCTTGTAGTCCTCTGGAAATCCATTCCTACTCCCACACCATTTAAAGGGTGTTCATCCCAAATTGTATAATTAAAAGTCTGTAGAGATTCTCAGTCTGTATCTGTATTCTAAAAATCTGTAGAGATCTTGAGGACACAGATAAACCTCCAAGGGCTTCAAGGACCCTCTAAAAGGATGCAAATGACCAGCTGTCTGCAAGGAACATAAATCCTTCCATTCCCTACTATCTTGTCAAGAGCTGAAGACACGCCTTCGATGGGAAGCAAAATGCCTTCAAAAGACAAAAAAAAAAGTCCAGTTGCCTCCTGAAAAAAAAGCCCCTTTGGGACAACCATCACCTGGAGAATCTCTGTTACAGGCTTATTGCCAGCTAATTCAGCTTCTGAGACAGAAGCTTCCATTTCCAAATCTGCTTTGTTTTTTGTTGTTAGTGGCGAAGTCATGTCAAACCCATTGCAACCCCATGGACAAGGTGCCTCCAGGCCTTCCTATCCTCTACTACACACACACCCATTTAAGCTCACTGCTTTGGTGACTCCATCCAGCCATCTCATCCTCTGTCGTCCCCTTCTTCTGCCCTCAATCTTTCCCAGCATTAGGCTCTTCTCCGTTTTTTAAAGCAAACCCAATTAAAAGATTCAAACTTTGAACTTTGATTCAAACTCCCGTCCCCATATGGACCACATTGACCGGGCCTCGATTCCCACGGCAGCCCAGGCGTTTCCAGGAATTGGGTTGGGGGGGGGGGAGCAGCTTCGCTCTCTCCCTGCCACCCTCGAAGGTTTCTGCTGCCCAGATGCTCTTTCACCCAAGACCTTCAAGCTGAGCCAACCGCTGCTACCTGACAAAAGACCTGCCCTCCTCCGCTACTTAAAGCCATTGATCGCAAGCCTTCCCTTCTTCCATCGTGGCCTTGCTCGCCGCCCCCGAAGCCCACCGACCCGTTTCGTGGTTGCCACGGCAAACGCAGGCGCCGAGGTTCCCCGGGCGGGGCTCCTCCCTCTCCTCCATCGTCATCATGGTTGCCATGGCGCCGGCTGCACCTCCGCCCCCCCCCACCCCAATAGCCTTCCCCACCCCCGCCGCTCTCCTCACCGGCTCAATCACCTCCGTCTCGGTGACGGTCGTGGTGGCTCCCGCGGTAGAAGTGGACTCGGCCATGCTGCGGCAAAGATGCCCGGAGAGTCCGGCCAACGGATGGAGCTGCTTTGCGCGGGAGGGAAGAATATCCGTGGAGCCTCCCGCTCCAGGACTCTCGGCGGAGCTCCCGGCGCCTGTTCAGCCGCAGCACCCAAACTCGCACGCTGCAGTCACCGCCTCTCTCCCTGGCAGCGGGAGCGGCCGTCGAGTCCCACTTCCTACTTCCGGTGCCTGTGCGTTGCTTTAACCGGTCCCCGTGGAGATTCCAGACTCACTTCCGGTGTGCGAAAAAGGAATCCTAGATAAGAGATTAACAAAGTTGGAAGGGACCTTATAGGTCATCTAGTCCACACACACACCCCCGCCCAAACAGGAGGATCAGCTGAGGGCGTTAAGAGACGGGAGGTTTCTTTTCAGCTATCCTCGGCTTTCCTATGCTCGTGTTGGCGGGGCTTGGTTCTGAAAATGATGGACTGCCATCTGTCAGAAATGGTGTAGTCTTCTCTTTGGGGGAATGGGGGCGTTGGACTAGATGACCTACAACATCCCTTCCAACCGGTGGTGAAATTCAATTTTTTTTTTACTACCTGCGTGGCAGGGGAAGGATACTGCAAAATCCCCATTCCCTCCCCACTCGGGGGCCAGCCAGTTGACTGTTCTCAGAACTACTCAAAATTTCCACTAGTGATTCTCCAGAACCTGCTGAATTTCACCCCTGCTTCCACTCTGTTGATCTATGATCATCAGCATGAAATAATCCTAGTTTGAATTCAAAGAAACGTGGATTTTTGTTTACGGCAGCCCCGAAGCTTTGACCGTAGTTTTGTATAACAGAGTTATGGAAGTCTGGAGTATTTTATCTGATTCAGCTGTAGCAGCCGTTAACTTTCACAGCTTTAATTCTAACTCAACTCCAGGGAACCTCATTCCATATGAAGAGTCACATTTTTATTTTCTTATTTTGTTTGAATTTGTAATTTTTGTTTGATGAATAAATGCACTAGAACATCTGAGTTCTGTTAAAGAGCGTTGTCTGGAGTTTGATGACAAAGAACCCTATAGCCTTTTAAATGTCTGTTTCAGCCTTAGAAATGCTAACTCACCAAATCCTATTTCATAATGTTTATTAAAGGGTTAAAATGTTAAAGAGGATTCTTCATCATTAGTCTAAAACTAAAAGTATCAAAGAATTTCAAATCCTCACATTGTAGCCTGATATTTACTTGACATAATTGGATTAAAAAAAGAAAGGATTTCATTTGTCAGTTTATGGAAACATAAAAGCTGCCCCCTTAAGCACTAGCTTCTCTAGGGTTGCCTAAAGATGCTTTAGGACGAAGATGCTAGTTTCTGATTCGATCCCTTTTGCATTAGAGTAAATTTCCAAAGGGTCCACTAAGGGACACTTTTTGCTAGGGACAATCTGTCCATACAGCACTAAGGATCTGTGTTGTCTAAGATGGTATGAAGCAATTATGGAATCTCAAAATGCAGGCAATCCTTGACAGAAGATCCTTTAATTTAGATGTGTGGAGTATCACCACGTCTATATAATATTTATACCTATCTCAGAATAAGTGACAACTTTCTTTTCATGATTATCATTGGAGTTTTCAGTATTTCAATACTTCAAGCCAGTAGTTATAGGCAAATTGCTGACTTGGAATTCAAACTACTTTCCCCCATTAATAGACAATCACCCACTTCCTACAATATTTGTGACTTTTATTTGAGATGATTTCCAACTATTCCCCAACTAACTAGTCCAAACTTTAAAAAAAGTAAAACTATAGTGGCATTTTCAAGATTCCACTAAGAAATTGCTTTATCAGTCTGGTAACTCTAGTTAAGATATTAGGAAGAAGTCAGAGATAGTAACTGTATTTTGCATTCACTCCAGTGCATGAGTCAAAAAGATGATGCCCACCTCCCCAAACGACTAAATTATGCAACACCACCAAAGAGCATGCTTCTGTCCTTCCTCCCAATTAGAGTGCTATGAGTCCATGCCTTGGAGAAGAACTGGAATAAAGTTCATGCCTTGGAGAAGAATTGGAATAAAATAACCCTACCACTTTTCAATATTCAAGCCAGTTCCCAGTATTCTGTCATATTGAATCCGATCAAGAACTCAAATTTTGGAAATCTAAGAGACAGAGTGATAGAAGACAGCACCGTAATATGAGGTACTAAGGACCCACAACTATTCAAAAGGTGAAGGTTGCATATCAGTTACGCTATCCAACTGCAATGAACTTTCAGCAAAGCCTCTTCACACCATTTTCGAATCTTCAAGGTGCTTTGATGTTATGTTAGCTACTGACCAGTAGGAGTCACTATGCAACAGGTTTGGTTGTTACTGAGATTGTTCTTAGATGGTGGGTGTTCAACTGCTTAACAGGATTTGTCCCAAATCAGAAAACTTGCTAATATGAAGGCATATAAAAGAGAAGGTATTAATTGCATGGCTTCTATAAAATTACCTTTCCTCTAGGCTACTGACAGCAAGGCTAAGTTAACTTAAAAGTCACAAAGTGCCCGTGGGTTCAAATCATATTAAAAGATTGGACATCAAACATCGAGTATGGAGGATGCAGATGGCCTGAAAAGTCTCAATAAAGGCAAAAGTGATTGAATAATGCCTTCTATTCCTCTATAGTTAGTACAATATCTAAAAACTATAAAAGCAGCTCCATCTCTTTGAAGGAGAGGCAGTGTTGAGACCCACATTAACAAAAATCAAAAATTGGCATAGCTTCTTCATGATATCTGGTGGCGGGTCCAAAAGGAACCCAAGAAAGACTACAAATTATTCCTATCATGATCACTTACTTGCTAATGCACTCATGTCAATTTCTCCAAGAACCAGAAAGCAGAAAAATCAGATCCTTTTGCAAAATATAGAAGTACAATCATACAATTGCATTGCTAAGCAACCACCCACACAGACTCCTCTTACTCCATTTTGAAACAGAATTCAGAGCTGCGTGAATAAAACCATAACATATTCAAAGGAGAGTGGAAGATCTCTCTTGCCCTTTGTCCTGTGAAAAACTCAGAAGCTTATAGTAGCAGGAGGAACCAGTACAATTCAATAAAAAACATGAATTTATAGGGATATAAATACACATAACAGCAGCAATAAAGAGAAACCTGCAACTCAGCATGTTTTGATTACTGTTTTTCACTGATAGAAACAGTTGAGGAAAATGAGATTTGAAGTCTACAAGGCCATTTGTCCGGTCCTGTTTTTGCTGTTTCCATTTCCATTTGAACTGTGCAATCGGTCATCAGCTGCCACTCATCCAATTTAAACAAGGTGCTTCTAAAGCATCTAAGAATGCTACAGTCTCTTCATAAAAAGCCCCAAAATAATTCTCTTTCACGTTTGGAGTTTTTAAGTACTGTCTTCCATACATTTTGGCAAACATGATTAAGAATCTTCTTTCTCCTGGAACCTAGGATTTAAAGAATAGACGGTGTCAATACTCTTGAGATGTATTATATAGTTCCATGGAATTGCTGATGCTGGATCATTTAATGACTCATGTACAATCATTTTACAGGCAGTGATTAATGTTGTAACATCTATACAACTCTCCCACTTGTTTTATACATCATCTAAATAACCTGACAAGTTAGATGATTTCAGAAGCAGAATAGGCAAGAGAATGAAGACTCATCTGAGACCTATTGTGCAGAAAAATCTGGAGCCATCATCAAATGTATCCTCAATACTTATCTTTGAAAAGAACTCAGATGAGTACTGGAGATGAACAAGAGTGATAGCTATGATCAGTTATCCTACTTGCGGTGTATGTAGTCTTCCTATGATGGTGCTGCAAATGTGTGTCTTGGTGCTCAGTTCAAATTATGACATCACAGCATCCCATGGTCATCTGATCACAATTTGCAACCTTCTTTGCTGGCTTCCTACAAGCATAGTCAACTGGGAAGCCAGCAAGAGATTGCAAATGGCAACCTGTTGAAGCCCCTACTATAAAACGTGCAGTGATTCACTTAATAACAGCAACAAGGAGTGCTAGAATTTCCATCACTAAGGGTCATGGTCACATGACATTGTGCTTTATGGCTGCTTTACTGTCATTAAGTGAGGACTACATGTGCTAAAATGACTTGTAAATTAAATTAAGTTTTTAAAGTCCTCCTGGAACTCAGATAAATTCCCATCACGGAGTATCATCAGTTATGAGGCTACCACAGAAAAACCTCTGCCTTTAGGACCACAATCACAGCTTCTACTGGTGAATCAGAAAACATAAGTTTCATATTCCTGAAGAGATTTGTATAGATTTAGACAATCCCTGAATAGAAATAGTAAAATACATAAATCCTAAATTGTTTGCGGTCTTAAGGGATAATCCTTACATTTAATGTTGAGTCCTGTAACAAGCAAACAATACAACTGGGACAACACAAATAAGACCTAACGTAAAACATCAAGTCATCATAAGCAGACGGAGAGGGGCAATATACAAGCTCTTACTTGCATTGGATGCAGGTGTAGAAAACCGTCTGCCCTTCATCTGCAGATCTCATCTGTCGAGTATGGTAGGCCATGCCCTCATGCCCACACTGAGGACATTTTCTGTCAATCTGAAAAGATTGAAATGAACAAAATAAGCGTTCAGTAAACCTTCTGATGCTGGTACGGCAGAATCCTTAAGCTACAATTGAGGACTTATTCCCGTAAATCCTTTGGCTAGGATTACAGGCTGCAAGTCCACTTAAAGGTAAAGGCAAAGGTTCCCCTCACACATATGTGCTAGTCATCCCTGACTCTAGGGGACGGTGCTTTTCGTCATTTCAAAGCCACCGCTGTCCGAAGCCGTCTCCATGGTCATGTGGCCAGCTTGATATGCTTTTGAACTGCTAGGTTGGCAGAAGCTGAGATAAGTAATGGGAGCTCACCCCATTATGCAGCGTTAGGGATTTGAACTGCCAAACTGCCCATCGACAAGCTCAGCATCTTAGCCACTGAGCCACCCCATCCCTCTGCAAGTGCCCTTATACAAGCTTATATCTTGGGTAAATCTTCTGCATGCAGTTTTTTAAAATGTAAGAAAAATATTAAGTCTTTCCTCAAGGGTAAACGTGCCAAGCTGACTTGACTTCTCTGTAAAGGAATTCATTTCTACCCTTGTGTTCATTTTCCCCTCTGCAGCTATTCCAGATTGACCGAATATTTCTAAAATTGTTTCCAGAAAATATAGTCAAACCCTATTTGAAATGTTTGATGGGGGCATATTGGTGTCTGTTATTTCCCATGTCACCACAGGATGACCCAGATGTCATATGCAAGGGTGACATAATTATGCAAATAAAGCAAACTGTCACAAATTATGTAATTTACATTATTTGCCTATTGACACCATCATGCGTACGATGCTTAATGGAACCAATAAATAGTCTTCTTATTCACTCACCAGTGGACCCTTAACTTCTTTTCCTTCTTCGGCAGTCAAGGAAGAGGAATCTATCTTGTTGAATGTGACAGATGTACGGATGACTCTCTTTTCAAAATCTATGCAAAGGAAAAAAATGTACGAAGAATAATTAAAGTGCTCATTAATTCAACCTTGTCGATTTCTTCTTTTTTATTTTTGTGCTTTTAAGTCAATGTTGACTCCTGGCAATTGCCTAGACAAGTCTCTACAATTTTCCAAGGCAAGGTTTCCGATGTGTGTTGCCTTTGTCTTCTTCCCTAAGGCTGACAAAAAGGGACTGGACCAAGGTCACCAAGATGGCATCATGCCTAAGGCAGGACTACAACTCACAGCCTCCCGATTTCTAGGCTGGTGCCTTAGCCTCTATACCAAACTGGTTTTATATTTCATCTAATGTTTCTTATATTCTCACAATTTGGAATGGAACACATGATCACTAAAGCTTTGTTGTTTCCAACAACTTTAACATGTCAGGAAAGGGATTAAATTACAACTTTTCTCTGACAACTCGTTTTCTAAATCAAGGGTATCACTTTTTGTATCTTTTTTTTGTTTTCAAAGATTGTGTTCTTTATGAAATGACATACCCTAGTTATAAACGACGTACTTTAATCTCTTCTGCTGTTTTGAAAAATTAAGCAATTAAGGACTCATAATAAACAACGTATTTCCGTATTTGAACAGAAAACGAATAATTTCCAACTTAAATGGATATTCATTACAGTAAAGAAACCCCACCCCCTAATAGTACATTAAACTGAGATTCTATTCATTGCTTCAAGTGCAGAAATACTGTGGGAAGCCCCCCTCCCACCCCCCAGAAGTATGCAATATTTTGGGGAATATTAAAAAGTCAGGATAAAATATTTCCCCTAAAGAGAAATGGGAAAAAAACCAGCTGCCCAGTTTCCCTGCCCCAAGCAGAAACTGAGGAGGCCAGTTTCTAGAAATGCAAATTTGGTAATCCATTCAGAAAGACAGGGTCAGGCAGAAACTTCAGATAAGCAACACAATCAAGTCAAAGGTTGACAAAATTAACTTAAACACCTAGGATTTGCATTTCCCCTTTTGCCTATAGAGACAGCCCCCATAGGAATCCAGAAGGTATAAAACCCACCACTCTAAAATCCATTTTGTCAGCTGTCCCAGAATCACACGTGGTTGGTAGTTCTGCTTCATCAATAAAGGGAACCTTTCTTTCCTTTTTTATTTCCAGTGCCTTTTTCTTGGCTTGGAACTGGACCCAGATATTTCTTCCAACAGTATTAAATGACTGAACTCAAATGGGAAAGATAGAAGTAATTACCATTTTCTTCTAATAAAAGAGCACTGAAAAGTATGTTTAGAATTTGGGACCTATGAATTTAAATCCTCCTGTAAAATATACACTTATAAAACAGAACTTACCTTTCACATCAATGTTGAAAGAGCAACAGGGACATATCACCTTATCCTGGATACCTGGCAAGGGCAGGACAGTACCACACTCAGGACAAAAATCAAGTTCTGATTCAAAGCAGGAACCTCCTTGTTCCATAATTACAAAGTAAAACAGAGGCTCTATAGGAAAAAAACACATACACATGATCATAAAAATCAAACGGTGATCCCAGAATAATTACTTACCCCCTACCTTAAGAATAGAATCTTTTGAGGGCTACTTGAAATATCTGATCTTCTTTTGCTGATGTTTTTCCCCCATCTTAGGCCCCTTTCCCTAATCAATCATTCATGATCAGCTCTAATATTAAAATTATTACTTTGGGTCTGCTTCTTTGTCAAATAAATAGGGACTGATCTCTTTCCGTATAACTTTAAACCCAGAAAGAGGAGAGAAAACTGGAGTAAATAGTGGAACAATTACTGTATACAATGCAGTTAAATGAACTCTGTTAGTCATTTTTCAAAAAAATATTCCAAAACGTTTAGTCCTGGCTAGTTTAACGTGGATCTGTCTTACTTTTCAGAAACTGTTAATACTGTACATTTTGCCATATAATTTAATGCAGAAACAAAGATAAATGTTCCTAAATGATGGATCGTCATTGGCCATCGTGACCAGGACTAATACAAGCTGAAATTCAACCACAATTCCAGAGTCATACATTTCCCTCTTTTCTCGATATACCAAACTTGCCCAAACGCTGCTTGACTCTTCCCCAGAAAAATAAAAATGCTCTTCATCGAGAGGCTAGTTCGCCTCTGGATGAAGTTTCTCATCAACGTGACTAAAAAGGGTTTGCGCCTTGGCATTTCGCGGTCCAAGTCACCAAAAGAAGCAGATGGTCTACTTCTGCAGAACAATAGTTGCATCTACTTCAATTTTTCTCCGGTTTGGAAGCGCTTCGGTGGGTTGGATGACGAACCGCGTCATTTCTGGCCAGCACATTAATGCGGCTGCACAGGCTGAGAATAATGGGGATTGGAATCCAATTCCCGTCCAAGTCTGGAGTAAGAGACACACGAAGAAAGGTTGCGCCTAAGTTTTTGAGAAGAACAATGCTGCTTCTCACTAGGGTCTCTTTGAGATGAGAAAAATCGAGCAATTTAATTTTTCATGCAGTTTATATCCTGCAATCTTAAGTGTAATGTAGAGTGGAGGAGCTGGTGATTGCATTTAATTTTTCATGCAGTTTATATCCTGCAATCTTAAGTGTAATGTAGAGTGGAGGAGCTGGTGATTGCATCTTAAAGTCGAAACGCTCGAATCATAATCACAATCACAATCGATATAATCGGTAATAAAGATCATAATAATACCTTTGCCCCCTGCCCATTTAAAAGCATTCGCCGGCTTCTTAAATGTAACTCCACGTGCAGCTTCAGAAAGAATGCACAATTGATTTCCTGGAGAGACAAGCTCGGAAGCGCAGAGTGGCCATCCTTCAAGAGCAGTAGAAAATAAAATAAGCGCGGCTAGACTGTCCATCCAAGAATCCTATTTTGTCTCTAGTGGTGAATTTTCTACTCATTTTCCCCCCTGATAGGGGCTGCGTTCATATATAAGCCTATAATGTTTGTTTCCAACCAAGTACCTGAAAAAGTTTACCCCAAAACCCATGCAGCGACTTGTCCAAGCACTCTCCGAGATCCAGAGACAGTTGAACGGGGCAAGAAAATAAAGGGTCACATTGGAGCCCATAATACAGATAATATGCTATTCTACATTTTTAACAGTTATATGGCAGATCTTTTATTGTAAAGACAATTTACACTGTGAAATTTTCCAAAAGTTGTTATTGGTCAGAAAGTATGCATAATAGCACAATTGGAGATTCAGGAAACCAACCTCTGCATCTTTTTCAAAGATATCTTCAGAACTGAAGAACCGCATAGAAATGAACAGAACAATATAATGCAAATTTAATAGATATTTATTTATATTTCTTAACTGCCGGTCTCACTCAGAATTCCACGCAAAATACACAGTATTGTAAGAATTGCAATTCACTTTGAGTATGTCTGCTGCAAATAGTAAATTAAAGATCTCTATTATCTATCCAAAGACTAGTTATGTGTATTCTCTCTGTTGTTTGGATTTAATTTTTTTTTAAATGTAAAAGAGAAATATGGATCTGAAAAAGTGAAGTGGAAACCTCCCCACAGCTATTTGAAAAACACATTACTTGAGTTGCAGATGTGTGCTACACCGTGAGCCATGGTGGCGCAGTGGTTAGAGTACAGTATTGCAGGCTACTTCTGCTGCCTGCTGGCTGCCTGCAATTTGGCAGTTTGAATCTCACCAGGCTCAAGATTGACTCAGCCTTCCATCCTTCCAAGGTCATTAAAATAAGGATCCAGATTGTTGGGGGCAATATGCTGACTCTGTAAACCATTTAGAGAGGGCTGTAAAAACACTGTAAAGCTGTATATAAGTCTAAGTGCTATTGCTATTTACAGCACAGCTCCACCATTCAGCTGATTTTCGGGTCTGCTGTGCACATGAGTGACATGTGTGCATGCACAGGGGGCACCCCCCACGCTTCATTTTTGGCACCAGGAGGCTTCAGGGAGGGCCTCTGGAGCCTAGGGAGGGCAAAAAACAGGACTTCCGGAAGTTCCGGAAGTTTGGAACTGGGCATGTTTTCGGCCTCCGGAAAAGTATGTTTTCACTGGAATAGGCAGGTTGAATATTTGTAGCCCACATTTTTTTCTTCCAGGAAAGATGTATGGCTAGCTTAAGAATGAGATTAAGAGTGGTTGACATTCCATGCCTCATTCATTCAAAATTCATAAGATGCTGTATTTCATTATGAATCACACCTATGACATGTGCCAATGAGTGGATACCATCAACATTTAAACATCAGTACTGCTGGTAATATTCCATGCCATAGGTTGGCCATCCTGGGTATAGGCTTTCCTGCCTCGTCAGGGGGTTGGACTAGAAGACCTCCAAGGTCCCTTCCAACTCTGCTATTGTATTGTAAATGTCCATCTGGGTTGAGTTCCAAGTGGGGAAAAAGACACTGGAAACATGGAGACTGCTTGGAAAGATTTTTTTAAAAAAATATATTTTTATTTTCAAAACAAACATACAAATCCTCCTTCTTTACATACTGTAGAAAGTGTATCAGTTGGTTACAAAAGGGTTTTGTGCATCTCTTCTACCATCATCAAATACAATTCATATTAACTCTAATATTTTAACTCAGATATTTATTATATTACCATCATCATCATACCTCCACTTTTATTT